GTTTCATTTGTTGTTTGGCAGTTCCCCCCCCCCTCTTTTTTTCATAGTTTTTGAACCGTCGTAACTGTCAGAGCTCCTCCACTCCACGGAATGCAGCATTTGGCACATCCAGTCTGCTTTTCCTAGCGGCACGTTCCAGATCCGTTGCCTCCATCCCGAAATGGCCTCAAAACTCTTTTATTCCAAGAACCGAATGCTTAATTTGGCTTTTCAGACTGGATGGCAGCAGAAAGCGATGCGTGCGTTGCAGGGCTTTCTGTTTTGCCAGGAAGAGCTTTACGAAATAAAAGGAGAGGATCACGCAATACACCCGCCCGATGACGGTGTCAAGACACCTTTGGCGGAGCTCTCAAAATTAATCTGGATTGATCTTGATTTGCACCTTGGAGGGTGACTTACCAAGAAGTCCCAGGGGTGGCGGCTTAATCTGGGAAGTTGGAAACACATCCCAGAAGGAAGCAGCGGGAAATTGCATCTCAGTTGTTGCTAAGAAGCGTCATCAGGAGCACAGCTCTCCTGGAAGGAAACCTTGTCTAATAGCACAGGGGAAGGTACCTGCCAGTTACATCCCGCCCATAATGCAGAAGAATAGGACAGTAATATGAGTTCATACTTGATCTGAGATCTCTTATTTATTTATTTATATGTACCCCATCTTTATTCATGCCCACTGTGAGTGAATTGGGCCGAGAGAAGGGGGCTGGCTCAAAGTCACCTAGCCGGCTTTCATGCCCAAGGCAGGACTAGAACTCCCAGCCTCCTGGTGATTGGCCCCAAATCACCCAGCTGGCTTTCATGGCTAAGGCAGGACTAGAACTCCCAGCCTCCTGGTGATTGGCCCCAAATCACCCAGCTGGCTTTCATGGCTAAGGCAGGACTAGAATTCCCAGTCTCCCGGTTTATAGCCTGCTGCCTTAACCACCAGACCAAAGTGACTCTCTCTTAAGTTGAGTTGCATTTATTGTTGCAATAGATAATTTCATGCTGCAATTGTCAGTCAACTGTTATCAGTCCACTACTATCTCCTTTGTGAGAATCCTTTCTCCACATTTCCCACACCTACATATAGTATCTGGGTTGCCTTCCCCCCCCCCTTTCGATCTTTATACTAGCCTGTCCCATACATCCACTAGATATATAGCTGTCTAAAGTGGCTTGAAATGTAAAAGATCCAGTTTAGGTGAAAAACTTCACGGCCTGGGTTCCTTCAAGGCAATTCTTCTCGCAAGGCAGAATTTGTGTGTTTGGTTTTTGCTTTGCTTAAAAAACACAAGAATAACAGCAATGTTTAATCGTCTTTAAAATAAAGCTTTGGTTTTTCAGCTTATTAGTCCGAAGAGAACATGTTTATTAAGTACTTTAATGTAATTGCTTTAAACGTCTTCACACACACACACACACACACACACACAGAGAGAGAGAGAGAGAGAGAGAGAGAGACTTTAATACTATTCCATATATTTTGTATCTATATATGTGTGTAGACACACTATACATATGAATGCCTTCTGACTATTCATGGTCTAGAGGAGGAATCAAAACTTTAAAAAAAGAAAAGAAAAGTTAAACACAAAAATCAGAGTCCACAGCTTCTGTTTCTGTCTAATAATATTCTGCATATTGACCCTTGAGAAGTGGTCATGCGTTAGTTCCAGGGAAAATGGCTGAGTCTTATTTAAAACTGTCTTTTTAAATGGCGCATTTTCAGTTTTTTTTTATGTTTATGTAACCGTGTTTTTCCAGTATCTGGAAGTGCTGAAAAAACACAAAGGAGTTGGCGATAACATAGCAATATAAATTCTGAAAGCAAGTGAAAAGACTAAATAAAAGAGACGTTGTTTTTCATAGTTCTATAAAGAGCATTTCGAGAGAAACCCAATATAAAAGCCGAATGTGAAACATATCACGATCGATCAGCAAAATGAGGTGGCAGAGCAATTATATTTAAAGTAGAAACCAGGTGAAAAACTACTCAGATAGTTGAAAATCCTCTACAGATTATCGTAAACATTGTATCAGACTTATTAAAAGCCAATTTATTGGATTTAATTTGCTTGGGAGGAACTTTTGTGCCCATAGGGCATTGACCTGATTAACATATATATGTGTGTGTGTTTGTATGTGGCTTTGGAGAATAGCTTGACTCCCTCCTCTTTGTGGCAGCCCTTCAAATGTTGGAAACCTGCTATCACCTCACCCCTAGTCCTCTCCATTAGACTAGACATATCCAATTCCTGCCACCGTTCTTCCTATGTTTTAGCCTCCAGTCTTCTAATCATCTTTGTTGCTCTTCTCTGCACTCTTTCTAGAGCACTGATGGCGAACCTTTTAGAGACCGAGTGCCCAAACTGCAACCCAAAACCCACTTATGCATCATCGAGTGCCGGGTGGGTGTGGCCCATTGGGTGGGTGTGGCCCATTGGGTGGGTGTGGCCCATTGGGTGGGCATGGCTGCGGTGGTAACGGCAGACTGGGTGGGACTAAAGAATTCAATCAATCAATTCCAACTTTGCAAGATCTTTTTTTTCCCCTGCGAGAAGTTGAAATTGACTGACTGAACCTTTTTTTTTTTTTTGTACACGGCGACGGAGGCCTATAGCGAAAAGGTTTTATAAAACCCAGCTGAAGGCCCAGGACTGGGGCGACGGGGTGTGTGCCCACAGAGAGGGCTCCGAGTGCCGCCTCTGGCACCCGTGCCATAGGTTCGCCATCACTGTTCTAGAGTCTTGACATATTTTTCATATCTTGGCAACCAAAACTGGACGCCTTGTTCCAAGTGTGGTCTTACTAAGGCTTTATAAAGCAGTACAAATCACTCCACGTGACCTTGAATTCTTTTTCTTTTAAAATCATGGCTGCATCAGAAGAGCACTTGTTAATAGCCTCAAAGCAAGCAGGGTAACGTAATACTGATGATTTGATGGCAAAGATGCTTTCACATCATCCGAATAGTACATGATGACACACTTCCTTAGCTAAAAGCAGCTTCAGACATTTAAGCAGGAGATAGGGCTTCGTGGCACACAACTGTAGGAACAGGTCCATTTAGTCGAAATGAACTTTTAAACACGCAATTTGCAAGGTATCGGGTGGTCTTGCAACAATAATAGATCAAATAGCCTTGTGTTTATGGCCTTAACGCAGTATTTCAGAATCAATGCTGCTTTGTTGGCTTTGTGTACTTCAGTTTCTAGGACACCATGATACTTTTGCATTTGTCACTTAAATGGACAAATTCAACCAAAGATAAAATGCTGTTAGTTCCAGTCTGTGGTAATTGGATTTTTTGATATATTTATTTAATGTAGACGTTTGCCAATGAATTGGATTTTCAGATTGATTTTTTTTTAATGCTGAAGAAAGGGCATCATGGGGGGGGGGAGAAACCCAGCTTCATTTAAAAAAAAGAAATGTACAAAAAAACCTCCATCTGTAATTGTTTACTTCCTTATCTTGTGTGCCACACTTTAGTCTAAAAAGCTTTTCAGCACAACAGAAGAAGAAATTGATTTTCAGTCATTTTTAATGACCAAGCAACTAATTGTCTCCCATAACATACGTTCCCCTGCCTTTTTGCAACAAGGCAATAGCATAACAGTAGTAAGTCAGTGTGCAGGACAATAACTTTTAATTAATTCAGGTATCTGAGATGTGGAAGCCCTAGATGGGACTGACTCTGGATTTTTTCCTTTGTCAGTATAGATATTTGCTTAAAAGTTAACTGCACATTAGGTAGGAAACACAGTGGCAGTACAGGATGGGGATGTTAATCTTGTGCCCCTGCTACTTTTAATCATACAAATCCTACCTTTTCAAATCAACTGTTTGCCCTAATGAAGAATGTGAAATCTCCTTGGCTGTCTTTAGTTTTTGTTTTTCATGCGATCGTGATCCGCGATTAAACAGCAAACAGACGTAAAAGAGTGAAATTTAAAATCAGCATTGGGCTAACTGCTGCTAATATATTTTAACCAGTCAAGTCTCTTTATCAGGATCTCTACCCGACTTCTTTCTTTGCAGTTGAGAAATTGGCTTATCAAAAACGAGCAGACGCTAGTAGGGTTGCCTAGCTGCCATCCTTAAAAAAAAAAAAAAAAAAAAAGCTGCTGATCTGTCAGCCAAAAGTTTCTTGCACTGTTGATGAGTTTTTCTATGTTTGGAAGTATATTGTTTTCAGAGGCTAAGCCAAGGGCTACCTGTATTCATGTTAATTCATGCGTAGAGGTTTGATTATGATAGGAGTTTGAAACCTTTTGGTCACTCTGAAGCTGAAAAGTCAAGTCTTGATTCCCAAAATATTTAGATTGTTTGTAATCGGCTCCCCATATGTCTGATGAATGCAATTTTGGGATGCAATCTAAGTTTCTGATAGAGAGTGGATCCAGGATTATTCACTGAGTACATAGCAGAGGCAAGTTTAGTATTGTGTCATCCAGTTAAGCAGCTCCTGTTGCTCCTTTGAATGATGTTCTAATTTTTGTACAATTGACAGCAACTATATGAATAATCAAAGCACATATAACTGAAGAGAAAGAATCTTTGGAAAATAGATGAAATAGATACAGTGGCGATGAAAAATTAACTTTGGGCTGATCCCCAGGAGACAGTGAGTTCTAGTCCCACTTTAGGCTTGGTAATGGCTGGGTGACGTTGGACCAATCACCAGGAGATGGTGAATTCTAGTCCCATCTTAGGTATGAAAGCAGCTGGGTGACTTTAGGCCAGTCCCTCTTTTTCAGCTGAGCTCACGTCAAGGGTTGCTGTTGTGGGGAAAACAGGAGGAGGGAAGGACTGTTAGGCACGCTTGCTGCCTTGAATTATTTATAAAAACAATAAAGGGAATATGTAAACAAAATAACGTAACATAAAATATTTACTTCTTTAGAAAATTTATATTGCCGCCTACCTCACACGTGGCGACTCGAGGCGGCTTGCAGGACATCAAAGCACAATATAAAAGAAATAATAATAATAAATAAAAATGTTTTTCTCTTTCACAGTGGTCGAAGAGGGATTTTGGGAGAACGGGCTTTCATACGAATGCAGGACGCTACTTTTCAAGGCGATCCACAACCTGTTGGAAAGGTGAGTGCACGACGGCTCTCTTGATGTTGCGCTGAGTTTAGTCACCTGACAAACAGTTTGCTTCAAGGGAAGGTGCAGAACAGTCCTCTTTTTCAACGAGAGACGGAAAAATAACATGCAAGAACTCCCCCCCCATTTATTTATGTATTTATTTATGCATGCATGCTTCTTTCGCTAAGACCTTAAAAAGGAGGAGGAAATTTTATGGATCATAGGAAGGGTGCCCAAAAGAGAAGGATTGTGAAACTGGAGTTAAGGAAATTTACCAGATGCCCTGCATTCAACACAACAATAAACGTTTAGTACACTTTCACTTTATCTTTGTCCTTCTAGCTTAAAACTCTAAAAATGGGGAAAAATAGGAAATACAGTTTTAGGACGCACCAGGACATAATTTAATATAGATGGACTTGGCAATAACAATGGGGGTTGGACTAGATGACCTCCAGGGTCCCTTCCAACATGATGATGATGATGATGATGGCGGCTTCCCCATTGACTTTGGCTGTCAGAAGGTCACAAAAGGGGATCACATGATCCCAGGACATTGCAGCCTTCATAAATAGGATCCAGTTGTCAAGCATCCGAGTTTTGATCACGCGAGATGCGAGAACTGCTACGGTTGTAAGTGTGAAAAACGGTCATAAGTCATTTTTTTTACCAGTGCTGTTGTAACTTTGAACGCTCACTAAATGAACTGTTATAAGTTGAGGACTGCCTATATTTTTATTTATGGGCTACTAACAAGGTATCTGGTGGGATGGAAGTCAGTTTAATCAGGTTTCCCCCCCTCCCCTTCTTACAATTAAGCACATGAAGAAATTTCTTTTCAAATTCCAGTAGCCAAGAAAATGCTTTTATTAGGGGAGGGTCTGGTAATTCAGTAGAATTAGCGGTCTGGAATTCCTCTTGAAATCCTTCAAAGTGAAGGCTTGACTCCTCATGCCATCTTGATTAAACTTTTCCATTGTTTGATAGAAACATTCCTTTCTGGAAAGGCCCCATGGTTTTGATTGCTTGCTAATGAACTGTTTCCTCCTTTGGCTGTTATCTCAGAATTATGCCGAAACCTTTTTGTGGCTGGCATTTTAAAACAAGCTATATAGACTTCACAAGGAATTAGTAAAATACACCCCAAGTTGCTAATTTTAGAAATGCAGTTCCTTGCCTTCTGTTTTCTGTCAAACCAAAATATTTGAAGGCTAAGAAACGCTTCGTCTTTTTTGGCTCCTAATCTTTCTAAGCGTGGCACTCTCTGAAATTTTCAGCGTATGACTCCTAATTCTGTATTTAAATTAGTTTTGCACCTTATAGATAAGAATTATTTGCTTCTTTTGAACAGTTAGATTCAGTTCCAGAAAGAGAGTTTACTTCCCTTGGAGTAATATTAAAATAGAAACGGCACCAGATCATGAAATGGACTGGGATTTATTATTATTTTTTTTAAAATAATCCTGAAGTACAAATAGGAAATTTGTGTTAAATTAGTATTTTCTCGCCGTAGCTTCAATAACACATTTATCCTGTTGTTTGATCAGTCTGTTATTTTGACTCCTGTTTTCCTATAGACTTGTTTTAGTAATATTTATCCAGTACAGGTAGTCAACTTACAACAGTTTGTTTAGTGACTGTTGAAAGTTACAACGGCATTGGAAAAAAAGGGACATGATTTTTTTTCACACTTATGACCGTTGCAGCATCCCCAGGGTCACGTGATCAAAAATCAGACACTTGGCAACTGGCTCATATTTATGACGGTTGTGGCGTCCCAGTGTACGTGTGTGTGTGTGTGTGTGTGTGTGTGTGTGTGTGTGTGTGTGTGATATGATCCCCTTTTGTGACCAAAGTCAACAAGCAAGCTAGATTCATTTAACCACCGGGTTAACCAACTTATCAACGGCAGGGATCCCCTTAGCAAGGGTGGTAAGAAAAGTCGTAAAATGGGGCAAAACTCACTTAGCAAACGTCTCACTTAGCAACAGAATTTGTGGGCTCAATTGTGGTCATAAGCTGAGAATGATTATTAATAATAATCCCTTGCTTAGCCCAAGAGAGATTCTGGCCTCCATAGCAGTCATAAGCTGAAAACCACCTTGGCTCTGTGGTTAGATGTTGAAAACGTGCCACTTATTTTTAGTATCTTTACTGCTGTTTTCGACCAGATAAAAATCAAATGTAGTAAGTGAAGAAGGCTACCTTCTGAGCCCTATAGTTAACCCTGGGATTCCTGATCTCAGTTCGATCTTTTGATTAGACCGTAATCACTACCTTGCACCGGAATTAGAAAACAAATAATTGCCAGCGGTGGCTGCTGCGTTTGTGCTGCTGCGTTTGTGCTGCGATAACAGGGGATGCTATATAAACCTCAGATAACCCTGGATTTAGGGGAACCATCCAGTGGTGGGTCAGCATAGAGTTTTAAGTGAATGTGAAGAAGCACAAAAGGCTTGAATTGCCAAACGGCTTCGGAAAAATAAAAATAGTATTTCAGCACTTGTTGATGTTTCCATTTTGCCACTTGAGAAATCAATCAAGTCACTATTTCATGGCTGTTGAACTTGATTAGATCTAATTGTGTTGCCGAGCTGGGATGGAGTGCGTATTAATTATATTTTTTTTAGCAGGTTCTCAAGTCTGTTGATCTTTCTCATTTATGCTAAGTGGATAATGGGTTAACTATTAATATGCATATAATGACACATTGCTGAAACTGATTGTTATTGACTCTAACGCTCCAGAATATAATGGTTAGTGAAAGGGGTCTCATTGACTGAAGCTTGACGTAATGCTGTTAAGGTATACTTAATTAAAACCCAAACAGTTTATTGCTTCAGAATAAACTTAGCTGATCAAAATATATCTTTTTACTCAAGTCAGTACTATTGTTTGAAACTGTTTGACTAATCAGTTATTTATTTATTATTATTTTTTAAAGGCTGGCTTACTACGCACTAATCCAGTAAAAGATAACATTTTTTCAATTAGCGTTTGTAGCCAGCTGTGTCTCTGCTTTGATGCCACGAGAATTAGCCTGTTAGTAGTTGATAGACAGAGGACCCATTTTTAAAATGGACCCGCAATGATGTGAGACAAATAAAGAGACCAAGGCTAATATCATAAGGGCAGAAAGGCAGAGCTGGATGTGAAGAGGTGAAGGGGAATGCCGTGAAAACGATAGCATTGTTTTTCTACAGTTATAAATGGCTATTTTCCTTCTTCCTTTATTTTAGATGCCTCATGGACAAAAACTTTGTCAGGATCGGGAAGTGGTTCATCCGTCCGTATGAAAAAGATGAAAAGCCTATTAACAAAAGGTAAGGATCCACAGTGCTTAAAAATACCTTTAAAAACACATCGTGGGTGACTCCGCTCTTCTCCGTTTATAGTTCATTTCCCACCATGTTCATATAATACAGTGGTTCTCAACCTGTGGGTCGGGACCTCATTTGGGGTCGAACGACCATTTCACGGGGGTCGCCAAACAATGCAGTCCGCCATTTCCCCCCCTTTTCCTTAGCTGTGCTACTCCCTTTTATTCTATTGGCTTTTGAAAGCCAATGGAATAGACTCTCTTGAATAGAGTCTAATTCTATTGGCTTTCAAAAGCCAATAGGAATTGTCCAGGCTGTCTCTGCCCTGCTGAACCTGCCAAAAGTCCCATTCTGCAAACGGTGCTGCACCAGTTGAGTAGTCCTCGACTTACGACCGGTTGAGTAGTCCTCGACTTACAACCGGTTGGGGGTCGCGGCATGAAAAAGGTTGAGAACCACTGATATAATACATCCTGACACTTAATAACTCAGCAGCTGAGATGGTGATAGTGAGCTCAGCTTTATTGCATTAATTCCACCATCACACACACGCAACCTCCAAATTTGCAGCCCTTGAGCAGACTTGCAATTGGGCTACAACTGGTCCAGGGGTTGGCAGTTTTCATTGAAGCATTTGATGTTTTCTTAAGCCTAGAATAGGTAGCACTTTGCCGGGAAGGTAACCTGGCTCCATGAGGTCATGCTGGCCACATGACCGCGGAAATGTCTTCGGGCCGTGCTGGGACAATGGCCTTAAAATGGAGATGAGAAGCGCCCCTTAAAGTTGGCAATGACTAGTGGAGTAAAATCTGCAGGGACTCCTTTACCTTACTTTTTAAGCCCATGGCAAGGTGCTTTTTCAAAAGGCAACTGGATGTTGTCAAGGTGATTTAAAGATTGTGGGTAAGAAGTTTGCCTGCCTGCTTCTTCCCAAGAATGTCTGTCTGTCTGTCTGTCTGTCTGTCTGTCTGTCTGTCTATCTATCTATCTATCTATCTATCTATCTATCTATCTATCTATCTATCTATCTATCTATCTATCTATCTATCTACCTATCATCCATCTGTCTGTCTGTCTGTGTCTGTCTGTCTATCTATCTAGCTATCTATGTTATTACCAGTTTTCTATACCTATTTCTATTTCAACACGGCCTATTTCTGTGCCGTCCATCTTGCCAAGGAGATTCTAGGTGGCTTAGAGTCAAAAATATGGATTTTGCGTATTCAGTCCATTTGGGAGAAGTAACTGCACTACTGCACAAATTATTGTAGCTTAAATGTACAGCCTTGTATATTTTTGTATAGTATAATATAGTTTTCTATCTGTATAGTACAGCCTTGTACTAGCCAGTTGTGATGGATTATATTTAAGTGAAAATCACTGCGTGATTTTTGTGTGCTGCCTGCATCTCATGGATGGGGCTTTGCTTGTTTGTGCGGGCCGGTTGCTGGCATGCCGTGGCCCGCTACTGGTCCACAGACTGGGGATTGGGGACCCCTGATTTAAAAGACCCAGGTGTTACATTTCATTTAAATAACATTCATACGCGTTTTAACATTTCTTCCCTTTGTGGATTTCATCCACATGCATAGACTGAAAACAAGATGCTTTAATGATTTATTTGCAATTGTCATATTAACTCAAACCACATCAGAATTGTTGGGTTTTGTTTTTTTTTTAAATTGTTTGGTTTATGTCATCTAGTACTGTTGTAGGTGTCTTGAGATGAATTTTTCTGTTTACCCAAACTTGTGAAGGATTTGAACACACTGGTGGTTTTAATGGGACGTCTGGAATGAAGCTGTATGATCCAAGCTGGAAAGTTCCAAGAATGTTTAAGCTGAGTTCCTCATTAGACTCTTAAAGCTGACAGAGTATATAAAGGATAAGGATAGGCAAAGTACCCCTGATGTGCTGTTAATTAGATTTGTCAGGAATCTCAGTTGTTTAGCCTGCCACATAGTGTTGTCACTTACTATATCTATAATTAATTGTCTTAAGGGCATCAGTAAATAACAGAGGCTTCTTTTTCAGTTTCTGAATAGCTATTCTAATAGAGTTAGTCCCCCCTGCCTGGCAACTTGAATCAGAGGGAAACTTTGATTTCAGGATAAGCTTTACCTTTAAAAAAACAAAACAAAAACCACAGTTAAAATCATTTGAGCTTCCTTTGAGCCCAGTTCTCAAACAGGAGAAACAGTGAAAGAGAGAAAAGGAAGTTAATCCTTTAGCGTTCTTTGTTGTCAATAGAATGGAAGAATTCGTCTTGCCACTTCTTAATCCTTCCAGGATAGAAAGCATGCATTTTTTTTCTTCCCCACCCCATAAAAATTAAGTGGTGTGTTCAGTTAAATGCTGCTTTGCATAGTTAAAATCAGATGCATTTTCCATGGCGTTTTGCGCCTTAAATCAAGATGAGACGGGCAATTATGTCTTGAGAGCATCCTGTTCGGTCCTCGCCATTCCTTCCTCACAATAATTTTAAATGTGCAGTGTAACATTAAGCAAAAATTAGCCGGTGTACAACCTTGACCGACGTTGGCTTTTGCGTGTTCTTCCCAACGTGCAACATATCAGCCATGCTCTAAAGCCACGTCCCTCTCTTTGATTGCAAGTCAACTTTCTTCCTACAGATTCATTCTGTGATGCAGGCAGTCCTCGACTTATGGCAGGGGTGTCAAACTCAATTTCATTGCACCTTTGGGACAACATGACTGAGAATCTCCATAAGTATATAATAAAGTTCAGCCAAGTCCTGATTAACATTAAATCATCAGTGCAGATTTGTGCAAACTTTATGTGAAGGGAGCAATTCTAAAGATAAGGTGATTTGCAGGATCGTGAAAATGCTTTTACTGCCCTGGCTGCTTTGAGTTGCACTTTTTTTAGAGAACCACACAATGCAGAAGTGGCTGGTGCTGGGTATTCAATGTTAGTTACTGTGAGTTTCAGAGAGAGGGGAGCTTGAAATGAGCATTGTGTGTCTCATAAGCAGAAATTAAGTAAGATAGATGCTACTACAAAGAGCTGTGCTTTACACGAGCTAAAATCAAATCTTTTCTCTTCTGTCAAAGAATCAGGGGCAGTGACTCAGTTCAGCCTATTGAAAGACTCAACCCATTCAGAAAAAAAAACACATTGTTAAAACGAATACTCCAGTTCAGCCGATAAATGCTTCAAACCAAATAAGGATTGAGTCGCTATCCTTTATTCGCCTACCGGAAAGGACATCGAATAGGCAATCCTCAACTTACGACTGCAATTAAGCCCCAAATTTTCTGTCGTTAAGCGAGACATTTGCTAAGTGAGTTTTGCCCCATTTTATAACTTTTCTGGCCATAGTGGCTAAGCGAACGACTGCAGTTGTGAAGTTAGCAACACGGCCGTTAAGTGGCTTCCCCATTGCCTTGACTTGTCACAAGGTTGCAGAAGGAGATTGCGTGACCCCCGGGGACGCGGCTGCCGTCATGAGCCAGTTGCCAAAGGTCCGAATTTTGATCACTGACCAGACTGAGGATCTTGGCAGCCGTCGTCAGTATGAAAAACGGTCATCAGCCATTTCTTTCAGTGCCCCTGTAACTTTGAACAGTCACTAAACAAATAGCCGTAAGTTGAGGACCTCTATTGGCAAAGACCTCAGTCCAATGGGAAGTCCACAGATCAAGTGGTGTCCTGAGACATTTTTGTGGTGTCTGGGAAACTCTTCCTGAGATGGCCTGTCAGCTTTAAATAGAATAAGTCCATTTGAGTCCATTTCTTAGGTGTGGGTGCCCTGCAGTGATCAACACACTTTTTTTTTTTTTTACATCTCTTTCATTCAGGCATGAAGCCACAAGAAAGTTTTTTTCTTTCCCTTGGCAAATGTTTCCTCTCCCTGAAAGATGACGAGAAAAAGACACCGAAATCGCTTGCTTAGTACTTTCTGTAAAGCTTTAAAAAAAAAAAAAAAAACCCCTACCTAGATGCTTTTAGATATAGGATTTTGGAGTGGATGCTTGTTCAAAGGGTACAGGCAAACAATACGAGGGCTCTTTTTGTGGGAAGGAAGGAAGGCCCAGTGGCAAGTTGACTTGCTTTTAAATTACGCGAGTGTGCAGCTTTGCGTAGGGATATTTTCAGGATTTGATGCCGGTTTCCAAAAGCACTTAAATGATCTGCTGTTTAATATTTTATTTAAAAAAGACATAAATCTTTACACCTCATTTTGAGTCCCTAGTACAGATTGAAGAATGAACGCTGAAAGAATAGAAATTGAAAAATGAGGTCTGGAAGCAATTCATAAAAATATGTACAATTATATGTGTGTGTATGGATGGATAGATAGATAGAGATAGAGAGATAGATTTAGATAAGAGAGGGAGAGATAGGTAGATAGATTGATAGGTAGATGATAGATGATAGAGAGAAATCATAGATAGATAGATAGATAGATAGATAGATAGATAGATAGATTTAGATGAGAGAGGGAGATAGGTAGATATAGAAATTGATAGGTAGATGATAGATGATAGAGAGAAGTCAGATAGGATAGATAGATAGATAGATAGATAGATAGATAGATAGATAGATAGATAGATAGATAGATAGATTTAGATGAGAGAGGGAGAGATAAGTAGATATAGAAATTGATAGGTAGATGATAGATGATAGAGAGAAATTATAGATAGACAGACAGACAGACAAATGGAAAAATATAAATTGAAGAATGAAGTCTGAAAGCAATTCCCAAAAATGTATGGAATATGTGTGTGGATAGATGCAGAAAAGAAGAGAGGGGAGGGAGGGAGGGAGGGAGGGAGGGAGGGAGAGAGAGAGAGAGAGAGAGAGAGAGAGAGAGAGAGCGGAGGCAGATAGTCAGTCAGTATTTTATTCTACTTGAGCACTACCTGATTGCAGTTGACTCACTCCATAAAAAAACAGAGAGCAGTAGGCCATCCAGAGAACATAAATGATGAACAAGATGGTGAAGCTGGCCAACAGCCACACCTATATACCTCACAAGG